CACTTGAGCCCAGGAGTTGGAGACCAGCCTGGGCAACACAGCAAGACCCCATTTCTATAAATAATTTTAAAAAATTAGCTGGATGTGGTGGGTGCATGCCTGTATTCTTAACTGCTCCAGAGGCTGAGGAGGGAGGAAGGCTTGAGCCCAAACTTCAAGGTAACAGTGAACTATGTTGAGAGTATTCCAACTGGGTGTCAGAGGGAGACCCTGTCTCTAAAAAACAAAAATAAAAAAAAATAGGGGAGGGGGTCAGGGGTTGTGCAGTGTGAGTGAGGGTGACCAGAAAGGCCATTTCTGTGACAGTTACAAAGGCTATGTGTGTATGGTGATGCTGAGGTTTTATCTCCAAGTGAGTTGTGCATATGAGGTTTGTTTGATCCTAAAGCATTTATTTTCTGAATGTAAACTTTTAGAATAAAGGCTGGTACCTCTTGCTCTATTTTGGCATAGGTTGTTAATGTTTTATATACTGAGAACTTCAAAATGACCATGGTTGGGGTCTGTCTTCTTGTCTGCTGGAGGCCCTGCCAGGTGCTAGCCAGAAGCAGTCCTTATTGCTTAGGCAGTGGTTGTGGGAAGTTGGGCGTGGCTCTCAGGGGAGCCAGAATGAAGGATAGCAACTCACGAACACACACACACCCCTAAACACATGCGTGCACTTACACACAGTTGGGAGTCCTAAGGAAGACAGCTCACCTTTTTTTGTTTGTTTTTTACCACCTTCATTGTGAGTCTAACGTCAAGTCAATTAACCAGCTATTTGAAATTTTTACGTCTAACAGGAGCTGAGAAGATCCAGTGGGTTATTGACTAGGATAGTTGGTGGGGTTGGCAGGTCGGGTGGGTGAGATGAGGGGAGGGGGATGTGGAGGATGGCTGGGGCGGCTGCTGCAAGGTGGGGAGCTGAGGGTTGGTTCAGGCATTATGTATTGGTTGGGATCCAATAGCCACTGTCTGAGAGTCTGCTCACCATCTCTTCCTGCTGAGCCTGGTGGGGCTGAATCGACCTTCATATCTCTCAGCAATGAGCTCTGTAGACTGCAGGCTCCATGGCAATTGCAGCTCCCAGGGTTTCAGATTGGAGCTGCCATGATATGCAGAGGTATAACACAGCATCAGCTGTGGTGGACGGCGGCCTCTTTCCGCCCCCAGGTGCGTAACAAAGGCTGACTTGATCGTGTCTGTGAGAGCACCATGATTTGGGGTCTCCTCTGTCAGTTTGGATCAGATAAGGAAGCAGCTGGGACTGCTGGCAAGAAAAGCCTGCCTATTCTCAGTATGGGGACACTTGAGCTGGTTCTCAGCAGCGCAAATAATGGGAGGATGAATGAGCATTGCACTACTCCCTGACGCAGAATGAAACTCAAATTCCCATCATGAGGAACAGGAAGTTTTTCATTTCTCCCCCAGAGCAGGTAGTGTAGGTCCCCCTCAGTGAGAGCTCATCTGTGCCCTGTGAAGTCGACTTCCAGGGTTTCTCTCTCAGATAGAGAGGGATAGTTTTTAGGTCTCCAGGGTCTAAAGAATGAAGAATCATTGCTTCAGTCCTTGCAATAGACTTCCTGGGTTCATGGGGAAGAAGGGCAAAGCCGAGGAGCAGGGTTTCCACCTCCTGCAAGGGAGACAGCAGGCCTCAGGTCAGAGCAGGAAGGGCCTGGCTGGAGCCTCCTGAGACCACAGGCCAGGGGAAGGCTTGGTTGTGTGGATGGAAGAGCAGCAGGGTGGAGTGCTTGGGGCCAGGTACTACACGGGGCCTGGGTGCCCGTGGAGGGAGAGCAGGCTCTGGATGGGGCCAGGTTCCAGCTCTCCTCTCATGCATGCTCTGCGTCTTGTGGAAGAGGGTGGAAGGAAAGTGGGCAGGGGCTGTTTGTGTTGTGGGTGGTGTCCTGGAATTCTCACCTTCCCCAGTGTCTCTCATGGAAACCCAAGGTGGGAAAAAGAAGCAGAAGAGAAGGCTGGAACAAAAAAGCACTTCTGCAATGAAGATTGGATTTTCTCTGAAATGAAGAGCAAAATAAAATATCTCCTGTAGATCTCTAAAGCTCTGTGCGTACTTTGTCTATGCTTTCAGACAATCTTAGCCTTAAGTATGAAGGGAATTGAGGTGTTCCAAATTACGCAGAGTCTCTCTCGTTTTCTTTTAAATACTTCTGTTTGGAATTATAAAACACAGACTGTGAGGACTGGAAAGAATCTTTGAGCTTGTGGTGAGCTGAATAGTAAAACCCAAAGAGGTCCACGTCCTAATCCCTGGAAGTTATGAACGACATGTTATGTTACATGGGAAAAGGGATTAAGACACAGAGTTTTCTTCTTCTTCTTCTTTTTTTTTTTTTTTTGAGGCTGGGTTTTGCTCTGTCATCCAGGCAGAAGTACAGTGGTAAAATCATGGCTCACTGCAGCCTCAAACTCCTGGACTCCAGCCATTCTCCTGCCTCAGCCTTCCAAGTAGCTGGGACTACAGGCATGCCCCACAACACCTGGATAATTAAAATTATTATTATTTTTTTTTGTAGAGATGGGGGATTTGGCTTTGTTGCCTAGGCTGCTCTCGAACTCATGGCCAATTTTCCTGTCTCATCCTCCCAAAGTGCCAGGACTGTGCCTGGCCAGAATTTTTAATTTTATAGATTCTGACTTCTAAATTTATCCTATGATTTTGTTGACCATATTTTCTTGAATCAAAATTAAGAATCTCTGATCTGACAATGAGTGAGCTTATGGGGATAATATGACAGAGTATTTGGAATTGAGGCTGCCCCATAAATGCTGGGGGACACGTATTCCCTGTAGTAATACATGACGTAGCCTCTCTCTCCCTTCTCACCTTCCGCACTCTGTGGCTTGTACATTACCAGGAAGGGAGTGGGGTCGGAATCTTGTCACAAGGGTTTTCAGAGGATTCTGCTAATCTCTGAACCAAAGCAGACTTTGGAAAGGCCTCCTGGGTCTAAAAAACGAAGAATCATTGCAATAAACATCCTGGGTGACTTTCACCTCAAACCTCAGAGGATTTCATGATTCTAGAGAACATTCTGTGCTTTGTGGGTTTCCCATCAGTTGGTGGAGAAATTGAGCCATTCAAACGTGCTGTTGGTGGTGGAGCCAGGGCAGCATAGCCCATGAAGCAGGGGTGGAGGGGTAAAGTAGCCATTACTCCATGAGCCCCCCCAGCAGGCCTGGGGACTGACACTTGCGTGTCTGTTGGGTCTGAGTATTAATTCTTGAAAAGACTGCTTAAGCAATTCTTGTGACTCTGTGATCAAGTTTTCCCATAGAAAGAAGTGCGGTTATGTAAATTCCTCCTTATAGATCATAAGATCAGCAGTTAACTCCAGCATGGCCAAGGGCAGATTGCATGGTTTTGCTTCCTCTCTTTGGTTATATTAAGCTGTGGGCTTCCTGTGCTATTTCGTGAACCGGATTCTAACAGAGGCAGGTCAACTGGGAGAGATGTGTTTGGCTGACCACAGAGCGAGGGTGGAGAGAAGGACTCAATTATTGGTGTGATCTTGATCCTGGGATGATGATGGTATTTGGTGAGATATTCTTGTTGAGATGAATTCCCATCCTTGAAATGTACTAGGCTTGACTCAAAATTTATGCTTTATTCTTCAATCTTACCACGTCAAAATGATGGAAAAAAACAAACAAATATTTTACCCTCTAATGGTCCTTAAAAAGAATAAACATGATATAATGTAACATCTACCCTCTGCTCAACAAACTCCATTTTGGGGCATTCATAGTTTCTATACAGTTTCCATAAGAATCCACCCATTGTGAAGTTATAAACACCATTCAATCAATACAGCTGACTCACCTCACTCTCCCTTCCCAAATGTCTGAACTTCAGTTTTCTCTTCTTTTAAAACTGGAGGACAGATTTGACCATCTCTAAGTTTCTACCTAGCTCTAATATTGTATTTTTCTAAGATTTTATTTAATCAGTTGGGATTTGACTTTGGAGAGTTACCTTCCTTTGTTAGCAAAAGGATAAAGCTAGGGCCCATGGGCCCTTCTGACTTAGTCATTTGTTCTGGGGGTGTGAATTCCCTAAGATTTCTCTAAAGGAGTTTCTATACCTGCCTCTTTACCTGTAAGAAAATGAAGATCTGCATAAATCAGGCAGACAGTATTATGAAGGTGAATGCCATGGTTTTAAAGTACATTGTGAAAAACATTCTTCCTTTCCAACCACCAACAGGGGGATTCCAAATTACACCTCTTCCTAAACGGGGTGACACGAGTGAGCACATAGGCAAGAGGACGCGGGGGACGATGGAAGATTCCAGCCCTGCAGCCTGGCTTTCCAGGGAGGCCGTGGCCAAGGTTTCACTCTCCCACTTGGCCTCCTGTTGATATCAAGGGAGGCCCAGGACCCTGAGTTCTCCGAAGTTCCATCAGGGCAGCCATTGTGGGTGCGAGTCTGTGGGTGGAGCATGTGCAAGGCAGGACCGAAGGTGGTCCTGTTACCCGTGAGGCTTGCAGGGAATCCACTGGCTCTGAGCAGCCAGGTGCACCCTGCCTCGATTTTGTCCCCTCTAACTCCACGGCGGCGACTTGCGTGGGAGAGAGAAGCAACCAACAGCACCTTCCGGCTGGTTAGGGGGTTTAGGAGACGTTGGTTTTGTGCAGACATGACTTGATGCTGGATTCCGACTTTCAGAAGACAAACTATTCAGTTCTGCAAACTCCACAATCTAGAATAAGGAATTAGAAAACCAACCCCTTCCTTTACTTAACGGTTAAAAATCATACAGGACTCAGAAAACAAAATGAAACAAAAACTGAACCTTTCTTAGATCCTAAAAGTGTTCCTCGGATAGAAAACCAACTCTCCCACTGACTAAAGATTAAAGGCGTCTTTTTCTCTTTAATGGGGCCACAGTTGGGCAAAATGCCCATCACTTTAAAACCACCTCTCAGCTGGAAGTATGTAATTTTTAGCGAGTCACAGAAAAATAGGGAAACTTATGCGGAGTTTCCTTGGTCACTTCCCCATCTGGGTGATCATGTACTCAGCCCCAGCACTGCAGCCTGGGGGTGCTCCCCGTGAGGAGGAAAAGGTGTGTCCACTGCCACCCAGTGTGAGTGGGTGACACCGCCCGGTTAGGAAATCCCAGCTCCCAAGAGGGTATAAATCCCTGCTCGACTGCTGAGCTCCCGCTGGAGGTGAAAGTCTGGCCTGGCAGCCTTCCCCAGGTGAGCAGCAACAAGGTGAGAGAATGCAGAGCTGCAGGTAAGAGCTTTTGAGACAGACAGAGAGAAAGAGAGAGGGAGGCAGAGAGAGAGAGACAAAGGCAGAGAGAGGCAGAGAGGGAAAGGCAGAGAGAGACAGAGAGAGGCAAATAGAGACAGAAAGACAGAGAGAGGTGAAAAGACGGAGGCAGAGAGACAGAGAGAGGTGGAAAGACAGAGACAGAGAGACAGAGACAGAGAGAGGTGAAAAGACAGAGAGAGGCAGAGAGACAGAGACAGAGAGACAGAGATAAAGACAGAGAGACAGAGACAGAGGGAGAGACATAGAGAGAGGTAGAGAGAAACACAGAGACAAAGAGAGACAGGGACAGAGAAACAGAGATAGAGAGACAGAGAAACAGAGACAAAGAGATGGAAACAGAGGCAGAGAGAGACACACAGATACAGAGACAGAGAGAAATCTGGAAGTCTGGACACCTGAGTCCGTTTCTGGTGGAGCCTCAGGCAACCCTCCCAATTTCTCCAGAACTCAGGTACCTGATCCGGGTGACCTTCCTTCCCCATGACCTTCTTCCCCTGTGTGAAGGTGACCTTAAGCATTCCTTGACCTTCCTGGGCCTCAGTTTTTCTATCTGTCAAAAAAGGGGTTGGATCAGAGGGTTTCTAAGGACCTTCCATGATTCTAGGCCACAGGCAAAATCGCCGTGGAATCCAACACAAGACAGCAGACCACTGAGACCCATTTCCACCATGAGAGGCTGGGCATGCGAAGTGTGCTGAATGGGGGGTGGGCATGGGAAGTGTGCTGAATGGGGGGTGGGCATGGGAAGTGTGCTGAATGGGGGGATGGGCATGGGAAGTGTTCTGAATGGGGGTGGGCATGGGAAGTGTGCTGAATGGGGGTGGGCATGGGAAGTGTGCTGAATGGGGGGGTGGGCATGGGCAGTGTGCTGAATGGGGGGTGGGCATGGGAAGGGTGCTGAATGGGCAGTGGGCATGGGAAGTGTGCTGAATGGGGGTGGGCATGGGAAGTGTGCTGAATGGGCAGTGGGCATGGGAAGTGTGCTGAATGGGGGGTGGGCATGGGAAGAGTGCTGAAGTGGGGGTGAGCATGGGAAATGTACTGAATTCGGGGATGGGCATGGGAAGTGTGCTGAATGGGGGGTGGGCATGGGAAGTGTGC